AGGACACAAATTTGTATAATAACATGGGTATGACACAGGTATTACAACGAGAAGGTGATTTATGAGGATATTTTCAGTGTCCCGGTAATTCAAAAGGCTTATAAATAATTCAGAATGAGTTTTTTTGAAAATCTGAAATAGCAGAAAGTCTCCTGTGAGGGGTAGGTTTAGGGGTAGGGTTGGTGTAGGGCAATAGAATATACGGTCTGTACAGTATAAAAACCATTACGCCTATGGAGAGTCCCCATAAACCATAAAAACAAACCTGTGTGTGTGTGTGTGTGGTTCTCACAGCTGTCAATCACGTCCCTCATGTGACCTATGACCTGTGACGGATGTGTTGACCTCTTACACACAACTCATTACATTTAAAAAAAAATTATGAACCAGTTTCAGCTGCATAAAGACAGTCACTACAGTTCAATATGAACTACTGTAAAAAAAATATACTTAAAAGGCATTTTCAAACCCTTTTCACTGCAAATGAACATGTGTAAATACATAAATTAACTATATATATATATTAAAATTAAATTAAATATTAAAATGCTTAAAATTATGTAAAATATATATAAATGGCAAGTTTTGACACTGCTCTCATTACAAATTCACTGTAAATAAAAATGTAAACATGAAAATGACATTAAATATTAAAACTTGTGAAAATATGCTTTCACTGTAAATATGTAAATATCATAATCTAAAAAGAACTACATTTAAGTGGAAATGACATTAAATACTAAAATACTTTAAAATGAGTCAAATATATTTAAACGAAAAAAACTACATGTAAATGTAAATAACATGAGGAAATAAATTGAACATCCATGTCAGGTTTCGTGAAGAGTTTCCTGTGCAGTGCTGAGAGAGTTAGTTTGCAGCTTAGCAACATTTGTTCATTAACATCACAAACATCTGAGCACGTGACATTTATTAGATAATAAAGCACATTTGGAGGAAAGCTTCATGCTTTATTCACACAGTTTGACTGTCAGCTGTGAGACGCAGCATGGTGGACAGATACAGTGAGGAAGAGGAGGATGATGAAGGCTGATCCTCATTCCTCCAGCTCACCCAGAAGCCCCCCCCACCGGGGTCAACCGCAGGTCAGCGAGGGGCGCGAGAACTGAAACACACGAACCAGCGTTAACCTGCAGCTTAATTAGCATAAAGAGGAAGTGAGTGATTTTGACCTAACATCATATTCTCATATTCATAACAGCGGTTTACAGCTGCTATTAACATCGGTCCCTGTTTATATATATTTTAATACTTGTATAATAATAATTACATTCTGTAAATAAATGTTCAATTTCAATAATTTATGTACATCTGGTGTGCAGCAATTTTGCTATCATTAAATTTGTTTAATAATTTCTAAGTTAATGTACAAACCCAATTCCAAAAAAGTTGGGACAAGTAGCAATAAGAGGCCGGAAAAGTAAAATGTACATATAAGGAACAGCTGGAGTACCAATTTGCAACTTATTAGGTCAACTGGCAACAATAAAAAGAGCCTCTCAGAGTGGCAGTGTCTCTCAGAAGTCAAGATGGGCAGAGGATCACCAATTCCCCCAATGCTGCGGCGAAAAATAGTGGAGCAATATCAGAAAGGAGTTTCTCAGAGAAAAATTGCAAAGAGTTTGAAGTTATCATCATCTACAGTGCATAACATCATCCAAAGATTCAGAGAATCTGGAACAATCTCTGTGCGTAAGGGTCAAGGCCGGAAAACCATACTGGATGCCCGTGATCTTCGGCCCTTAGACGGCACTGCAT